AACCATTGTGGAAAGCAATATGGAGGTTCCTCAAAAAACTCAAAATAGAAATACCATTTGACCTGGGAATCCCACTCCTTGGAATTTACCCAAACTTCTCAGATTCAAAAAGACATATGCACCCCTATGTTTATCACAGCACTTTCTACAATAGCCAAGATATGGAAGCAACCTAAGTGTCCATCAGTAGATGAATGGATAAAGAAGATTTGGTACATATACAAAATGGAATATTATTTGGCCATAAGAAAGAAACAAATCCTACCATTTGCAGCAGCATGGATGGAGCTAGAGGATATTATGCTCAGTGAAATAAGCCAGGCGGAGAAAGACAAGTGCCAAATGATTTCCCTCATTTGTGGAGTATAACAATGAAGCAAAACTGAAGGAACAAAATGGCAGCAGACTCAGAGACTCCAAGAAGGAACTAGTGGTTACCAAAGAGGAGGTGTGTGGGAGGGCAGGTGGGGAGGGAGGGAGAAGGGGATTGAGGGGTATTATGTTTAGTACACATGGTGTGGGGGGTCACAGGGAGAACAGTGTAACAAAGAGAAGGCACATAGTGAATCTGTGGCATCTTGCTGCACTGATGGACAGTGACTGCATTGGGGTATGGGTGGAAACTTGATAGTGTGGGTGAATGTGGTGACCACATTGTTTTTTCATGTGAAACCTTCATAGGAGTGTATAGCAATCATACCTTAAGAAAATAAAAAAGAATCACTTCCCAAAACATGTGCAAAGATGGGCACTGCACCATTAGTTATCAGGAAAAATTGGAAACCATGTAAAGATCCAGAAATAGGACTTCCATTAATTTTTTTATGCTATAACTACACAATGAAAGACTATGCAGCCTTTTAAAATTATGTTGCAGAGAATGATTTAAGGACATGGGCAAAAATGCTCATGACAGTGTAAGTTGGGGAGTGATTAAAACCTAGGCAAAGAATACATATACATAAACACATGTACACTCAGAGGTACACACATACAAGAAAGTCTTGAAAGAAATGCCCCAAAATGTTAGCAGTGGTTCTCTCCAATATGTAAGATTGTAGACCATATTTTGGTTTCTTTAAAATGTTCTGTATTTTTTCAAGTTTATGCAATAAACATGTGTTATGTTTAGAATTTAAAAACTTCAAAATTCTTTCTGTCCCTAGGGTCAGAGTTTTCTCGGAAACCACCAGGGGCTTCAAGCCTGTTTTCTGCTGCAGCTTTTACCTGCTATGGCCATGGCTGTGGTCTTCTCTTGGCCAAGGGCCAGGTTGTGGATAATGCAGGACACATTCCCCAGCGCGCTGTCCCTGACTCTGCTGGACACTGCTGTTTGAAAGAGCCCGGCTTCGTCCAGGGAATGGGCCTCCGACAGGGAGAGAAGCACCCTGCCTTCAGGGTCTCTCCATTCGGCCCGAGGCTCTGGGAACCATCCCACAGACCTGCACACTAGATGGATCCAGCCAGCGTCGTAGCCCTTCACGTGGATGTAAGGGTCCGAGCCTAGAACTGGAGGGGAGGTGGAAGGCGATGGTGCTCCAGTGCCCTCTGCCCCGCCCACAGCCTCCCTAGTGAGCAGCAGGGGCTCTTAATGGCACTTGAATGCCTGTCCTCTCCCCACCCCTTGCTCTCGCTCATCTTAGGCCTGAGATCCCAGAACCTGTGCAAACCACCCCAGCAGTAACTGCATCCCGTGATTCAGATCTTGGGGGCACCTCAATCTCCTTTTGAAAATGACTGACCTGCAACCTGCAAGGTCACGGTGCCCTCTCGACTCTGATTTGCGACCTGGACCTGACATTGGTACAGCCCTCGGTCCTCCATCCGGACATCGCGGATCTCCAGCGTGACACTTCCCGCGCCGGCGTCTCTCACCAGGTTCGTCCTCCCCTTATATTCTGGCATCACATCTTCCTCCCGGTCTTTCCCATCCCGAAACATGTGCACAGCCAGGGAGCGCCCCAGGGGTGAGGACCGCAGCCAGCTCACCACGTCGGGCACGGCGACCGGCCAGAGTGAGACGGGGCAGAGCAGCTTGGCTGTGCCCCCTAGTGGAGCCAGGTGGAACTCGCCGGCATCCCCTGCGCCTGCGGACCACAAAGGGACAAGGCCTCAGCGGAGGCTGGGGAGCAAGAGCTTGGCAAGGGGTGACGAAGGGGGTATCTTGGAGGAAGGACAGAGCCTGGGAAGGGCATTGGAAAGGATTGGGGGAAGAACAGACCCAAGAAGAAATTAAGTCTCTAGCTGGGCGTCCCTGTAACTGGGACTCCTTCAGATGTCCCAGGCAGGGCAAGTTCAGGAACTCCTACCTGACACGGGTTCAGGCAGCCAGAGGAAGAGGAGTGTGATGAGGCCGCTGGAGAGCCAGGAGTCAGAGGAACGGGCCAGCTCCATCTGAGCTAGGAGAACAGACACAGGGAGACACCAGAAAGGGTTGGTGGGCTTGATGTGAGACAGACTGCAACCTGGGAGGTGGTGCAGAGACGGAGGCTGCAGCACATGGCCTCTAGAATCACACCAGTAGAGTTTGAATCCCAGCCCCTCTGTTTACCTCCACAGAACCTCTCTGAGACTGTTTCTCTTGGGTCTCCTTGCAGGACTGTTGTGAGGCTTGTAGGAGGTAAGTGTTCAACATAGAGGCTGGCCTCATGGCTAAGTCTGTAAACACCCTGAGTTGTGGGTAAGACACTGAATGTGGTTTGGAAGGCATGGGGAGGAATCTGGAAGAATGGGCACTTACACCCAGAGCCAACCAGGTAAACACCAGCGCACAGGCCTCTTCTTGTATTTGGTGTTCCAGGCCAGGCATGGGAAGCCAATTTTCCACCTGCAAAGCAGATGGGAGCTCTTCCCTGACAGCATTTCAAGTTTGATTCAGGGAAATAACAAACCCAGGCAGTTCATCATGAAGACACTAAACCTGCAAACTCAGGTCTGGGGTTAGAAAGGCGTGGGTTCAAGTCTTAGCCACACCCATGTAATAGCTCCATGTCTCTAGGAAAGTTGTGTAACATCCATAGGCCTCCAGTTCTTCATCTATAAAGGCAGAACCTTCAAGGAGATAATGCATGGAAAACACCACAAATGCCTGGCAGGACAAATGCTCAATAAGTGTGCTGTTGTTATTATTACTGAACTAAAACAGGACAGTCATCTCTGGGAGGTGGGGTCACCGTATGCATTAGCCACAGGGAGCCCTAAAGGATTCCCTACTGTAAAACACTTTGCCTAGCAACTTGCTATGCCTGAAATTCCTTTAGCAGGAAATAAATCTTTCATGCCACAATTAGCAATGCAATTTAAATGATTACATAAAAACACTCAAGAAAGAGATAACATTTCTTAAATTCTCTCCAAGATTTCAAATCCTTTCCAAAGGGTGGGGTGGGATTGTAGAAGTCATCGCGCTGAGTCCTGAAGGTCTTGGAATGAGGCAAAATGGGCCTAGGAGGAGGTGGAGCTGTCAAAGGGAGGTTGGGAAACTGAAAATGGATTTAAGCTTTGAACAAAATTTTAATTCTGGCTTTCTCATAGCAAACAGCACAGGGCTTCAGGGCTGATTTTGTTTGTTTCTTTAAATTATGATGCGTATAAACACAGAGAAGACAAGTAGTGATTTTACAGCATCTTACTACGCAGATGGACAGTGACTGTGAAGGGGTATGTGGGGGAGACTTGGTGAAGGGGGGAACCTCGTAAACATAATGTTCTTTCTGTAACTGTAATGATACCAAAATAAAAAAAAATTATGATGCATATAACATACTCCATTAGTCCCCCCCATGCTGTAACTGGCAACATAACACTAAGCCACAGTGAGGTTAGGATTAAGTTAGGACCCTTTTCTTTTGTCCCTCACACTTTCCTACGTGTTTCCCACATTTCCAGCTACTCAGAAACTGAACAATAGAAGTTGGGTAAATGAGAAAAGCTCTCTGCCTTACCAACTATCATTGAAGGTGGAAGTGGGCAGGGCCCAGGATCCCCTGGAGTTACCCCAATCCCAGAATCCTCAACTAGAAGGTACTTTTAAAACACACCCTGAGTGACACAGAGCTCCAAGCTGAACCAGGGCTGCTTGAAATCAAGTAATATGAGACCCCAGTGGCCCCGCCCTCGATTCAGAGAGTTTACTGAGTAAGAGCATGAGCTGTAGAGGGTCCACCTGAGTTCAACCCCAGCTCTGCCATTACCTGGGTGTGTGACCTTGGACAGCTTAGTTCACTTCTCCAAGCCTCCTCTCCTTCACGCATGAAATGAAATTAATAATGGCACCTACCTTGTACATAGGGCTGTAGTGAGGATTCATAGAAAATACATGTGAAATGATTTGTACCAGATTCTGAGAATAAAAAGGCAAATGAAGTCCTTTCCTTAGATTGTCACTCTTTAATGAGGCCACTTGAGGTGTCTTCAGGAGGGAAGTCCCCATGAAGCACATGATCAGGTTACTGGTTAACAGAAAGCAGCTCTAGGAAAGGCTGACATTCAGAAATAGGACATTCACTCTCTAGTCATCAAAAGAAATAGTCAGACCACAGTTGGATAGGATTTGTTTTTCTTCAGATTATCAAGTGCTAGAAAAAAATAATACCCAGAGTTATTGCACATGTGGACAAACTGACTCTCTTGCCCATTGCTAAGATTTCACAAGGTTAGCAATAAGTATCAAACAATTTACAAATATGTAAATGTTTTAATCCAGTAATGTCACTTCCAGAAATAAATAAGGATGTGCATGAGGATTTGATGGTGAGGATACTCATCACAAAGTCATTTATGAAAAAAACTTGAAAACAGCCTAAGACCATTAAAATGGGAATGACTATGGTACATTCTTGCAATGACATACTATGTAGCATTTCATGATCACGTGATAGAAGATGATCTTTAATAGCATTGGGAAATTTTCACTACAACCCAAACAACAACTTAAAAAAACTATGCATGGCATGACACAATTTAGGTAGAAGATGTTAGACAAAAGGCAAGAATGTAGATATTGAAGAGTAGCTACTTCTGGGGGTGGGCATGAGGTTAAAGGGGCTCTTCATGGTTTTTCTTATGTATTTTCTACCTTAAACATGTATAACTTTGATTATCGGAAAACAAATATATAGAAAGGAGAAGGCGGAGGATGGCCAGGAAGGGAAGGAGAAGTAGAGTTCACTCTGGGCAGAGGTGCACACAGCCCAAGAGGTAAAGAAGCACAGCTGGAAGCCCCCCAGGGTCCATAAACAGAAGCTGCCGACATAGCTGCTCAGCACAGCTTCTTCTCAGAGTTTTGTAGTGGAAAATTGAGAAGTGCTGCCAGCTTTTTTATTTTGTATTTTCTTATGTGGATGTAATAACCATCTGGTCACCATACTGATCTCCAGGATTTAGTCTTCTGATCTGTTTGGCTGGGATGGCCTCTTCTTCCATCATGTTCTCACTTAACATATATCAGTATTACATTAATTGACATTGTGTTAGTGTAGGATTGAATTAACTCTAAATCATAATATATTTTTTTGTTAATTTTGTTCTATGTTAATAATAGCTCTCACTTATTGCATCTGTAGGCACTCTACATATATTGTCTTCAGTACTGACAACAACCCTGAAAAATAAGTATTGTTTTCCTCATTTTACACTTAGCACAGAAAGGCAATCACACAGACACCAGGGTATCCTGCAAGCAAATTGGAAGGATCCTTTCTGGAAGCAGGTAAAATATAAATCATGGATAAATAGATGAATTAATTAATTAATCCATGTCATAGCCCTGTATCATGAGCTACAAATGGGCAAATGACTTGCTCACTTTTCAGAGTGATTATCATGGAATTCTTTTATGAAGAAAGTTCCCTTAATAAATATAAAATATGATTTCACTTCCTAAAGTTCAATGTACATGACACAATTTGGGGACCACTGACATCTTAACAATATTGAGTGTTCTGGCCAATGAACATGGTTTATCTCCTGACTTATTTGGGTCTTTGTTAATTTCTCTCAGCAGTATTTTATGGTTTTCCAAGTATAGATCTTACACATCTTTTGTCAGATTTATTCCTAAATATGTAATATTTTGATGCTATTATAAATGGTATTAATTTTAATTTTTGGTTTTTCATTACTAACATATAAAAATACAATTAATTTCTGTATAGTGGTCTTATATCCATGACCTTGCTAAACTCACTTATTGGTTCTAGTAGCATTTCTGTAGATTCCTAGGGTCTTCTACATATGATCATATCATCTGAAAGACAGATTACTTTTTCCCTTTGTAACCTGGATATCTTCTATTTCCTTATCTTGCTTTATTGCACTGGTTCCTTGCCTTGTTCCTGACCCAGTGGAAAACATTCTTTCTTTCACCATTGGGTATAATGTTATTCATAAGCTTTTCATAGATGCTTTCTATCAAGCCAAGGAAATTCCTTTCTAGACCTAGTTTTCTGAGAGTTTTTCCCAGGAATGTATGTTAAATTTTGTCACATATCTATGGAGATGATCATATGATTTTTAATTTTTAGTTTGTTAATATAAATTATATTGATTTTTTTAGAATGTTATATCATCTTTGCCTTCTGGGGATAAACCCCAATCAATTGTGATGTAACCTTTTTCTGTATCTTTGGATAAAATTTATTAAAATTTTGAGAATTTTTGCCTCTGTGTCCATGAGGGATATGGCTTCAGTACTTTTCTTGTTCTATCTTTTTCTAATTTTGGTCATTAGAGTAATGCTGTTCACACAGAATGAGATGAGAAGTATTCTCTTCAATTTTCTGGAAGAGTTTATACAGCACTGATATTATTTCTTCCTCAGATGCTTGATGGAACTCACCAGTGAAGCCATCTGGGTCTGGAGTTTTCTTTATGAGGTGGCTTGTAACTACACATTCAATTTCTCTAATAAACATAGGGCAGTTCAGGTTATCTATTTCTTCTTGAGTGAGCTTTAGAAATTCAGATCTTTCAAGGAATTTGCTTAATTAGAATGGGTAGTGTTGTCACCTCTCTCATTCCTGGTATTTGTAATTCATGTTTCTTTTTTCTTGATCAGTCTGGCTAGAGGTTTATCAATTTTATTGATGGAACCAGCTTTTGATTTCATTGATTTTACCTAATATTTTTCTGTTTTGTATTGTATTGGTTTCTGCTCAGATCTTTATTACTTTGGGTTTAATTTGTTCCTCCTTTCTTGTTGCTTAGGTGACTGATTTGAGATCTTCCTTTCTAGTATAGTGATTTAGTACTATAAATTTCTCCCTAGGTATTGCTTTAGTGACATCCCACACATTTTGATATGTAGTGGTTTTAATTTTCATTACATTCAAAATACCTTCTAATTTCCCTCTGGATTTCTTCTTTGACCTATGAATTATTTAAAAATGTATTAT